AGGGAACCACACAATCGCTTCTTTCTCCCCCTGACCCACTTTCCCTCACCCATGGAGGGGGGCTCAGAGCCTTTGGCAGAGCACTGGGGACAATAGGGACGCACCGTGGTGACCTGCAGGAACCCATCAGTGCCCTGCGTGAGGTTTCTCAGGCGTGAGACCCAACCGAACTGACGGTTGAGCTGGTCCAGGAGGCTGCTGGTGTTGAGCATCTCGGCCTGGAAGGCGCTGAGGAGGTCATCGTAGCGGCGGGTGAAGCGCTCGGCCAGGCGCAGGGCATCCTCAAACTGCTCCCGCAGCTGGCTCTGCACCGGGTCTGTCTGTGAGCAGTCTGCAGGGCATGGATGAGGGTCATGGAGCACAGCAGCATCCCTCTCCCCTGCATCCCCTGCACCCGTATCTATCCCATGCATCCCCATCCGCTGCATTCTCTATATCTCCTGCACCTCCATCTTCTAAATCCCCATCTGTTGCATCCCCTGCACCTCTATCTCCTTCATTCCCCTTCCCATCTCCTGTAGCCCCATCCCCTGCATCCTCACCCCTTGTATCCACTGCACATCATTCTCCTACATCCTCATCCCCTGCATCCCCCATCCCCACCATCTGCAACCCCATCCTTTACATCTCCCACATCCCACCCCCTGCATTCCCATCCCTTCTATCCCCTGCACCCCTTGCATCCCCACTCCCTGCATCCCACCCCCTATATCCCCATCCCCATGCCCCGCATCCCCCTCCCCACCTCACCCTGCACCTCCTCAGCCAGGCACAGCCCCCATCTTGCCCCCCTCCCCCCCACAGCCCCCTACCTACCCACAGCCAGGATCTCTCGGCACTTCTCACACTCGTCCCGCATCCGCAGGCAGCCAGCCGAGTTGCGCCGGATCTCACGGCACACCATGCGATCAGTGCTGAAGTTACGGTGTTCTACATAGAGAAATACATTAGGGAGCTCCCCACACTTCGACTGCCCAAAATGTGGCAAGGATAGCATTGCTCAGCCACGATCACCCCAGCAGAGACATGGAGACATGGATGGTGGAGTGATGGATGGATGGGGAACCATGGTTGGATGGGGACAATGGATGGGAGACCGACGGATGGATGGGGGACCATGGATAAGGGACCAATGGACAGATGGGAGACCATGGGTGGGTGGGTACAATGGATAGGGGACCAAAGGATGGATGGGGGACCACAGGTGGGGACAATGGATGGATGGGACAATGTATAAGAGACCAATGGGTGGATGGGGAACCATGGGTGGGGGCAATGGATGAATGGGAACAATGGATAAGGGACCAATGGATGGATAGGAGACCATGGGTGGATGGGAACAATGGATAGGGGACCAATGGATGGATGGGGGACCACGGGTGGGGACAATGGACGGTTGGAAACAATGGATAAGAGACCAATGGGTGGATGGGGGACCATGGGTGGGGGCAATGGATGGATGGGAGCAATGGATAGGGGATCAATGGATGGAGGGAGAACCATGGTGGGGGACCATGGATGGATGGGGACCAAAGGATGGATGGGGGACCAAAGGATTGGGCAACCATGGGAAGATGGGGACAATGGATAGATGGGGGACACAGATGGGGGACATCCCCTATTCCAGGCCTTGGTCCAACAAGCCCAGACTGCACCGCAGGGCTTTTGTGAACCATTCAAGCACTTTTTCCAGGGAAGTTTGACTTCACCGAAAAACATTTCCTGGCCCCGAACGAAACATTTTCCGGACCAGAGTACTCTGTGCCAACCTCTGTTTTGCAATCAGCCCTGTTCCCAGCTGCCCTGCGTGGAGCCGTGGCTCTGACCCAGCAGACAGTGACGGAGGTGACAACGCAGGGATGGTGACAACATGGGGACGGCCCCTCATGAGCACATCCAAACCCAACACCAACTCATCCCTCTGGCATCTAGCCCCCCTGAGGTGCAACTATAGGCGAAAACCACCCCAAAACCCATCCCAGTTCTGCTAACGGCAGAGCCTAAGACTCCCAGGTTTCCATGTGGATTCTCCACTGTCTCATATTAGGGTTGAGCTCATTCTACTACGCTGACAAGAAAGGGGAACTGTGGTGGTGCTGCGCTCCTACCTGACGCAAAGCCCCCCAGCGGGTGCTCCCAGGCACCGTGCCCCCCATCCAGCATGCGCTGCGTCATCTCAAAGAGCGGCTGGAAGAGGCGGTGGAAGCCGTGCACTGGGTGCTGAAAGAAGGGGTGCAGCTCTCGGGACAGCCTCCTGCGTGGCACCAGGTGGACACGTTGCACGGGTGGGACGAAAGCTTCACGGAAACCACCGAAGGGCGGCGTTCGGAAGAAGGGGAAGGCAGGCCCATAGAGCTGGGTGCTGTCCTGGAAGATGTCCTCCACGCCATCCTCCATCAGCCCAAAACGCTCCTCCAGGTCCTCGAAGCGCCGCTCCTGTCGCTGCTCCCGATCCAGCAGCTCGTCGATGCGCTCGCCGTTCACCCAGATGGAGAAGGGCGAGGAGCGGTTGAGGAATTCCTCCAGCTGTGGTGGGATTGGGGTCAGCACAGAGCCCAACAGCCCCCACCTCCCCCTATGACACCTCCAGCCCAGCTCACCTGGCGGCCCACCAGCCCTGAGCCGCTGTGGCATATCTTGGAGTAGACACGCATGCAGGTGTGCTTGAGGCAGGGCTTGCACTCCTCCCACAGTGACAGCATCGTCTCGTTGCACACCTCCTGCTTCTCTGCCAGCTGCTTCTCCTTTTCCAAGGCCAGCCTCACCGCCTCCTGCATGGCACAGCATGCACCACCCCAGATCAGCTCCCTGCAGCCCTGCTCCCCCAACCCACCCAACCTCACCCACCTCCTTCCTCCTCTTGGTCTCTTCCAGCGTGTGCAGCATTGCCTGGTGCTCCTTGCTGGTCTTGTCCATCAGCGTCTTCATCTGCTTCACCCCATTGATGGCGTTCTCCACTTCAGTGTCAATGTACTTGCTGCCAGCTGCTGAGAGCTCTGCGGGGAGGGTGGATGGGGGGATGGAAGGAAGAATGGAAGGGAGGAAGGGAGGGAGGATGGAAGGGAGGAAGGGAGGGAAGATGGAAGGGAGGAAAGGAGAGGGGATGGATGGATGGATGGAAGGAAGGAAGGATGGATGGATGGACGGGAGGGAGGGAGGAAGGATGAGTATCTCTGAGCTCACTGCTCCCAAGACAAGTTGAATTTCCCCCAGTGCATGCAAACATTTGCTCACAAAAGTCAAGTTCACAAAACTCAAAAAAAGTGACTTAAAAGCCAAACTTTAACCCAGCTGGGGCTGCATCCCCCTGCCCTCCACAAACAGTATTTGAGTAGTGTCACCCATGGGTTCCCCCCCACCCAATAGCCACCTTTAAGCATCCAGCCCCTGTTCCATATTCACATGAGGATGCTGAGCCCCATCCCCATGGGCACAGCACTCACCCCTCCCCACAGCCAGCAGGGAACGACCTCTCCAAAAGCAATGGGTTCAAGCATCCTTTCCCTGCACCTCCCCACCCCTACACCCTAAAGTCCCCGCTTACGTTTCAGCTCGTTGGGGGGCATGAGGCTTTGCCCCCCTTGGCAGACGAGCCCCAGGCTGAGCAGGGCGAGCAGCTGCAGCGCCATGGTCCCGTCCCAGAGCCGCCCAGACCTGCGTGGGTGAAGGCAGTGAGAGGGATTGGGATCCGGGCACGGGGCTGTGAGTCAGCAGCGGGCACAGGGCCACCGCCGTGGGCACAGCGTCGGGTAGGGCTGTGCCAAACTCCGATGCAGCCAAGGCACCAAGCAGGACTTTCTTCTCCTCTTTTTCTTTTCCCTGTGTTCACACGGGGGGGGGGGGGGGGGGGGGGGGGGGGGGGGGGGGGGGGGGGGGGGGGGGGGGGGGGGGGGGG